TGAGGGTGTGAATGGAAGTATTTGAGAGAATTGTGCTTCTGTACTTTAATGCTTCAGAGCCTAGCTACATTCTTGGTCAAAGTTCAGCTTTTTATGCTGCATCAAATCCTTCTGTCAGGCACTGTAACCTGAGAGTGAGTTTTCACACTTGTGTTCCTGAAATCCTGTAGATGGCAATTGTGAGGATTGTGTGTACAATTTTCAGATTTTTTATAAATAAAAATAAACGTCTATATGTTTTTTTTACTTGTTTGTAGGTACGCCAGTCTGTATTTCTGCTGTGCTTTGGAGAGCCAGGATAATGAACTTCTGGCTTTAGAGATTCTGCACCGTTATGTGGAGCTACTCGACAAATACTTTGGCAATGTAAATACATTGTTTCTTAATTTCTTAGCTCTGGAGCAAATATTTGGTGTATCTGATAAAAGATACTATACAATATCTATTGATATATCCATTTCCTTTTATTAAATACATCACATTTTTGTTATTAATTTATTTATTTTTGCGTAGACTTCTCACTTGAACACATTATTTTATTCTTTACTCTATTTCATTTACCAATCTGTCTTTGTCATATTACAGGTATGTGAGCTTGACATCATCTTTAACTTTGAGAAGGCTTATTTCATCCTGGATGAGTTTCTGATGGGTGGAGAGATTCAGGAGACGTCCAAGCTGTCTATTGCGAAGTCTATAGAGGCCTCCGATATGCTGCAAGAGGTGAGATACTCAATTTGATCTGCATTCAGGTTAATAAAATTGAAAAATTAAACAGAAAATTACGTTTATTTGTTCAACAGTATTGAAATAGAATAAAATAAAAAATTTAACTTTTTGTATTTTCCATCCGTGTAAATTTGCTGTTGTTTTGACAACATAAAAATGAGTCCAGGACATGTGGCAATCTCAGTCAGTGTTTCTGAGCCAGACATTTCAGATTGAAAGTACCTGCAGCTGATTTAATGATGCTGTTCAGTTATAGAGCTCTACTTTGGCCGTCACCTTCATAAAACATTATTGATTTGACAAAGAGAGAGAGACAAATAAATGGATGGCCAGTCTGAGATTGTGGTTTTACAGAGCAGCTCTCAGTACCACTAAATGCCAGTTTTCCTAGTATGCCTCAAAAAAATGAGACCACATTAAAAGAATAGTTCACCAAAAAATGAAAATGATGACATTTACGTACCTTCAAAGCTGGCATATTGAGCGCTCCTAGGACTATAGCATAAGGGGTATAAATGACATGAGGGTGAATAAATGATGACAGAATTTTCATTTTTGAGTCCATTGTTCCTTTAAAACCCATATGGCATCTAATCATTTGTTGTCCATATATCATTCTAATAAGCAGGGTCCATACATCTGAAGGAGAGTTCACCTCTGCACGGCACGGGAAACTGAAATCTCACTTAACATTATACAAAAGGGTAATCAGTTATGTGCCTGTTTTCTTCTCCTCAGACGATGGAAGAATACATGAGCAAACCAGCCTTCTGACAGCAGCTGACGTGATACAATGTGACAAAAAGGAAAGAAACCTGCCTCCGCAGTGTATGTTGTGTCCTTCAATCAGGACACAATTTTCATTGCAAGAAGTTATAGACTTTATTCATGAGGGCTGCATATATTTTTTTCTTATTTATTGTTTTTTTTCTTCTCTGTGCTTGTATGAACATCTTGATCCATTCCACTCAAATTTTAATGTAACTGAATCAGGGTTCATGTTGTGTTTTTGAATAGGTTATGTCTTGTCAACTTATAAAAATAAATGTAATGCAGAATTTCTATGATGGCTCCAGCATGCATGTACACATGCAACCATAGATTTAACCGATAATTTTTTACTTTTTATACCAAAATCATTTTATATAATAATCATATATTTCCAATAACCTTAAACCTTGGCTTATTTGAAGTGCCTTTTCATATTTTTAAACATGTTGCATGTCTCAGGAGACATTTAGCTCAAGAAAGGAAAAAAAACACTTTTGAAGGAATGGTAATGCTGCTTTATGAGCACACATTGTTGATATTGTGTTATTAAAACAGTTTTTTGATATGTTTAGTCTCAGTCAAATGTTTGCAGTTTTCTCTAATGAAATGCATTCAGTGCTTTCTAAAAAACCTTCCAGCAGTTTATTTTTGTGCACTGTAATGAATTTTTTTCTATTAATATCTCTTATTATGAGACTATGCTTGCCACTGTTTTAGGTCCTGTATCATCAAGTGGGAATCCTTAGCTTTTCTATTCTATCAGATGTAAATATTAATATATGATTGATATTTTTTCTTCTTTTTCAAGATCCAGACTGGCACAGATAAATGTTATGTTTCTTCTTTTTTAAGTGATGGTTGTTTTTGTGTTGAATCATGCATAACTCCATGTAATAAGGCAGCACAATACAGCGAGAGGAAAAATAATACGGTAATGCTTTATTTATGTTTCTCTTCTCACACTTTAGAACACGTACAAAATGATTTATAAATGAGAATCACATCCATCTTTATTGGTTTGATAATGAAATAGCTTGTAATGATTGCAGCAAGCGGAGACCTATGACTACAGGAACTTTCTCTTGATACCAACAAAAGGAACCAGAAAACATTTCGAGGACCACCAATTCATAAACGACATAAAATGCACTTGAACTCCCGCACATTGATATACCATATATATTTACATATAGAATTCCATGAAAACTAAAGCACTTTAAACTGTTTACTTTTTTAAAAATAACTTTTGAGGAGATATAGGCATGTCCCACGAGTAAGCATTTTCCCCCCCCGTTCATACTCCGACAAGTCCCTTCTGTGGCAGGATTGGCTAGTAGGAGCTTCTTACAACCAGTTTGCAATTTGAACAGTTCAGAAGTCGTTCATGTAGCCATAGCAACTATATCAAAGAAATAAAAGGTCAAGGGGTGGGACTTGTCAGAATAGGAGCAGGGAAAAAAAACATGCTTAGGCTCTTCACATTCCTGCAACCATTTTCCCGTGATACTCTTTACCCTCTTCTGTTCCAGACACAGGTGGGGTTTGATCTATGGTCTCCTGTGCTGAATCTTGAGTGGGTGGCTTTTGGGGCGCCTCGGGCTCCTCTTTGCCTTGGGTGTCTCTCTTGGTGAGCATGCTTTTTCCATGATCAACCTGATCAAAGAAATCTTTCATGGCCTCCTCATACAACTCATAAGGCAACTGCCCATTCATGGTGGAATCAATGGCTCTCTTGCGATCGCTCGAGCTGGTGTCGGGGTATTCCGTCAGGAGCTTGGCTGCGAGGAAGGTCGACTCTTCATCCTCATCAACTGCATCATCATCGTAATCATCTTTTCTTTTGCTTGGAGCTTTGTTTATCTCGGACAGGAACAAGCTTCCCCGTCTTCCGCTGGGGTTGAAGTACTTTGGCATGGCTGTTTTGTAGGGCCTTTGCTTTAGCAAAGAAAATTGTGTGTTTTTGTTGGCCAGATTCCCTAACCCAAGGACTTTCAGGATATCCTCAGTCTTGACATCAGGAGGGACATCACTCACTGTGACTTCTGGCTGTCGACCGTTGTAATACTTGATGACCCGGCCCTTGTACCGAGGTTGGCTGGGCTTCCTAGCCAGCTGGCTCTCAGGAAGGCGTTGTTGTTTTCTGGTTTCCTCCATGAAGAGCATTCCAACCAGGTCCTCTGGAGGTACCTGGAGCTTCATTGAAATGGCTGACAGCAGTTGTTTGATTGCCCTAGGGTCAATTAGAGAGGGTTGGGATAGTAGTCGCCTCCTTCCTTCCATCAGGTCTCGTTTTTGTGCTTGGTTTGTCATCTCCAAGACCTTCAACAGGTAGTAATCCACTAGTTTTGTGTCATCATCTGCGTTCTCATCATCGTCTTCTGTAGGGATAGCTCGTCTTTCAATGACCTCGCCCTGCTCTCTGTTATCTCCTAACCCTCGTTTGTATTCTTCACGGCTTCCTTTAACTACTTCTTCCGTCTCAAGCTGCTCCTCTAACGGCACCCATTCCTCCCCTCCGGTCATGTCCTCATATGCAAGATTCCTAACCTTGTAGAGGTCATCATCGTCTTCGGCGTCTTCATCATCCTGGTTCTCTCGCTTCTGGTTCTGTGCGGCAGACAGTTTACCAAGCTCTTCGAATATAGAGCGCATGTTGGCGAGGCTCTGAGGGGTGTACTGCTCATCCAAATCCTCAGTCGCCCGCTTGTTGTCCCTGCTGTTCTCCTCATCCTCAAACATCAGTGGGAACTTCTTGTGCTGCTTCACAAAGCCCCCGTAGTCTCCAACAGGGCTCTCTGCATCTGCCACTGGGCGTCTGCTCTTGTGAGGACGCCGCTCGTTTCTGGGCGCTGGCTGGCTTTCCGGAGTTTCTCCAGCTTGTTCAAGCACCCGCAGCAGAGATTGAACCCACTGTGGCACCTTGTTATCAGGCCAACGGGTGGCATCCTCACGCGTGGGTGCATTCTCATCCTGTAGGGAGGCGAGCTGCACTAGAAAACGGAATTTGTCCACCTCGTCGTAGTCCCCTGTTGGACTCTCTGATCCATCGGCTCTCTGCTTCAAGCTTTCAATGTACTCCAGAGCTTTGATCATATCGGAGCTGGGGGCAAGGAAGCCCCCCTGATCTCCGCCTCGCAGGCGATGGTGGCGCACAGAAGCGCCCTGCACGGTTAGTGTTTGGAGGAGGGTAACAAGCAGGACCACCACCCCTCCGGCGGACAATTTCGGTAGTGACAACATAATACCGCCTAGAGATAAACAAGCACAAAAATAGTTAACCCATGCAGTCTTTTTATTTATTTTGCATCCTTGGTATTTAAAAACAAAATGCATGTAATGTACCTACAATTCTGTTTGAGTTTAAACTACCAATGAAATCAGTTCTTGAAGTTGCTTTACTACCCAAAATTGTTTCCCAGACCGAGTAGAAGATACGCTCCGAGCGCCCAAGCATCAATGAGATCAGTCGGAACACAACATGTTTTTAAACACCGGATGAGTCACCGCCTGTTGTCAAGGTAACCTTTCACTTGTGGCTACGGATCTCTAAGATCAGATCTATTGATATTTTCACGTATGTTTGTATAGAACAAATCTCGATAAAAAAAAAAAAATCAAATTAACCGGGAAACAATTTCACTATTTT